TTCTTGACATGTATCATAAAACAATGAGAAAATAGCAAGAATTTTTATCATTTTGTTTTCTCACTTCAGACATTTCCCTATCAAAAATAGCTTTAATGACTTGTGTCAATTAGTTAAAAGTGAATTCAAATCCAACCATTTCAGAGATCTATCAGAAAGTACTACACATCAGAACAAAGTTTTGTGAAAGTGTTTTAATGTCTTAACTCTCTGTATAAGTGGACAGCAAGATAACTGTTCAATATTAGTGAGCTTTTTGCTTACTTTGTGCCTTAGTGATTTTTTCCATACATTTTTTCCATACATTTTTTCTTTATTAGTGAGCTTTTTGCTTGCTTTGTGCCTTAGTGATTTTTTTCCATACATTCTTCCATACATGTTTTCTTTATGGTGATATTTGGTTTGTAAGTTTTTTCTCAAAACTATTCTTTTTAAACAAACTCTGAAATACTGAAATTCACCCTATTGATTTAACATCAGTACAAGGAAATGTGATCTTATGACTTGTTTTGCTGCATTTGTGGTTATCTCTATAGAGAGATACTTTATAGAAACAGAGATTAAATTATCTTCCCCCTGCCCAGGCCAAGATCATATTCATGATTCATATTTGACCTCACCTGCATTGTACCTGCTAGCTCAGTTTCAGTACTTTTAGTACTGGTGCATTAATATTGTAGCGTTTAGTATTGGTATATATTGTGGTATTTAATATTGGTACATTTCCAGATGTTGGTCAAGGTGCTCAATTTCCAGGAAATAATCTGTCACAAAGATATTTCCTACTTTCTCCCTAATGTGGACCAGATTAAAATAGATTTTTAAAACAAGGAGGTCTGAGTTCCAAGACTATTTCACTCGTGGTGCAGTGTCAAGAGTGAGAAACAATCCATGTATCCTGTCCAAGCCTTCCAATGATACAGAGTTTATTTCCAGCTCTGGCAAGTTGAATACCATAAAATCACAACATAAAATCACCATAAAATTGCAATAATCTGATTTCTAGCAAAATCTGTCATTCCTTTAAATGTACTTACGAACTAAATGTAGCAAGACTGCAAAAAAAAATATTAAAAAAAAAAAGTTTTCTAAGGGCAGCTCATTCTTCATCCTGCTCAAGAAGTAGTGCTGAGCTCCTAATTCCAAGTTCAATGCTTATTTCCCTGGTCTTGGTTTAGTCATTGGCTTCTAGGCATGATGGATTTTCTTCTCCTCTGTTCCTTTGGGGAAGGGTCTGAGAAGGTATTCCTACGTCGTCATCTGAAGGTGGTATAGGGTATGGCTCTTCCTGACCTCTCCTGGTGTTCCAGTTGGGCCTGCATTTGACCAAGTTCATTCGCCTGCTCCTCTGGGCTCTGATAAATGCAATGTTCCTGGTGATGGTAGCTACCAAGGTGGGTCCCCAGAGAGGACCATTTCTTCTTTGGGATCCTGTGACATTTCCCTGTTCAGGGCTCTGTAAATCAGTGCCAGAATCTGAAATGGACACATTACTGGCCACAGAACCAATAAGAGTTTGTAGTGCCCTGCTTTATTCAGGAGATGAGCACCAGTGTTGTCTATGGGCTGTAAAGTTTTGCTTCCATTAGGGCAGAGCGAGTTGCCAGCTTGAAAGTGCTGAATGTTTTAACTCTGCTGCAATGCTATTATTGCTAGTCTTGCTCCTGTTGCTGATGATCCAAGACAAGTGCAAATGCCTCCAGGTTTGTGTTCATCAATAAAAAGTAAATTTTTTACTGTAGGAAAAAATAAAAATCTTTCCTAGCCAGCTTTAGATAACAACATTTTAGAAGAACTCACTATCTTAAAAAGGCAAAGCAGAGTGTTAACTTATTATTAGATTCTGGATATTTTTTACATTATTAGCAAAGTTGGTTATCACATACAAATCATTCTGAATGAGTTCTGAATTTCTGAATATTGGCATTCACACTTTTATACAAAGCATTCTTCTGTTATTTTAGTTATGAGTATATAGTATATTTTATCCTCACTATATCTGTATTTAGTCTTCTAATATATCAGAACTAATCACGTAAGCTTATTAGGTAAAAAAAGTGCTTTCTACTTCTTTGGTGAAAAATTCTGGAATAGATAGTTGGTTGCACATCCTAAACATTGGCGTGCCTTCAAAAGCTGTCACAAGCAAACAGATTATAACTGTTGCAGTGATTATGATCAATAGTTAATAGTAGTGAAGAAAATCATAGGACACATTAGTTATGTGTCCTAAACTGTGTAAAGATTTTTGTTTTAGATTGAACCTGGATTCATGTCTAAAATGATTCCATTTCAAAATCCTTCACTCTGTTTAAAATGACCTGCTTATTCAGACTTACCGTTTAATAAAATATTCGCTCAGTTTAACTATACAGTCTCACGTAAAAAAAAAATAGTTAATGTCAGGACAGTTATTCTGGATGTCACTCAAGTTAGGTCCTATTTTTGTTAAAGTGCATGAGAATTCTGTTAGTATAAAAAGGAGTTTCTGACTTCAGAAGTTGTATTAAAAGAAAGCTTTTGTCCTAAATAGCGGTTTTGAAGTTTGCACACACAAATTAATTGAAGAGGGAATTCAAGATTCCAAATTGGCTCTTGATAAGGGCGTGTATAAGTTCACAGAGGACTTGCTGGTTAAGAGACTGATACTCAGTGAAATTGATTTGCTTTACAAATATTTGGTATTCATGCTGAAGAACTATTTATTCTGAGAAAAGTCTTCAAGCGTAAGAAAGCAAGCCCCTAACGTAGGTGAATCAGAACAATTTCTGCTTCAGTTATCGTTTAAAACAGTGAGCATTCACTTCAAAAAATCTGCTCTGGAGGCGTAATGCTAATAGGATACAGAATGAATCTGGTTGTTTTATAATGCACAGGCCTGAGATATATGTCAACACTGATTATCCCAAAACTGGAAATCTGCCAACTACTGCAAGAAATGTGTCTAATTAACAAAAATAGGCTATTAACAGGAAAAGTTATTAAAGGAGTTTGTAAGATGCAGGTGAGTTGTACACCTTCAGAAGGTTGGTGTTTAGATTTGTTTTATAAAACTAAACGAAAAAACCTAAAATCAAATATGGTTTTAAGAGGTCTCATAATTTGTTCTTACTCTCTTCCGCTCTTGTAAACTGTGCTGTCACCTTGCATACACATTGATTTAGTGTACACAGTCTGACAAACTTCAAGACTGGTATGGTAAATGGTGTTAATACTTTCCTTATTAGCATTTTGTAATGAGTGGGCTGTCATGGTGAAAATTTGCCTGCAAAGGTCAAAGATCCCATGAGGTAACTGCTTCAAAAAAGATGCCAAAAATACCCTTGTGTTAAGAACTTTTTTCAGACTGGTAAGGAATTCTTTGTACTGTAAAACAGCTATGGGAAAAAACAAAGATAAATTCTCTGAATCAGACAATGAAAATAATGCAAGTTTAGCATGGGTTAAGTAGATGCCACTGTGTAGCACTGTCGGGCCAAGAGGTCACTGTTTAAGGTGGGACAAAGGAGCGTGACACAGTATACTGAAAGAAAGGAAGCCAGCTGTTTTGTCATCTGTTGGAGTGAAGTGTTTGATTTGGTTTTTCCAGTAACTACTCCAGATATGCCATACCTGGGGAACAGCTAATTCTCTCTGGTAACCTCTACCCTATGCTCTTCCTGCCTTCTCACGCCTTTCCTCTTAGACGTAGCATCCCCTTCCAGCCTTGAAGCTGACTCTGCTCTGAGGCAAGGACTCCAGAGGTCAATTCCAGACAAAATTTTTCAGAGATCTTACGACTCTATAATAATTGCTTTTTTTTTTTTTTTGGAAGCAACTTCTTCTGGCTTTCTCTAGTCCTAGAATCTTCATTTTCCCCACTAAAGTTAATGAATTGCTCCCAAATTGATTTATTCCTCCTGTTATCTCTACGTTCTGTCTCCTTGGAGTCCTTTCCTATGTTTCCCCTTGGTCTGCTTTGTCTCCCTGCTTTAATTTATAGCACTTTCTTGTTTGCATACTTCACAGGTTGTGTGCAGGAGACTCCTGAGTGCCAAAAGAGCTCCAGAATAAGGCTACTTTGAGCTGTAGATTGTGTTCAAATAAACTATCAGATATTTCTTGAGCTCAGGTCCTGTAATTGTTATTATAAGATTATCGTATCGTCTGATTGCAGTGACAGAGGAAGTTAAGGTAAATAAGATGACATCTAAGGATGTCAAGCCTTGGCCTTTCATGAGCCTGCTTTAGCTCCTTGGTCGATATGTTGTGATAATATTCATAGTCTTGAGTCAAGCTAAAAATACTAACATTCAAGGAAAATTTCAGCAAGAAAATGTAATTCACAAGTCCATAGTGTCTTCCAAATGTGTTTGTATAACTTGACTTTGAATTAATAGTAATGTTAATTGGGAACAGAGATTTCCTATCTAATATAAATCACATTTTTCTGATTGCTATTTTGATTTCTGTTCCTGGATCCTGGATTTTTGCAGCCAAAACTAGTCTCTCATTAACTATTCTGTGTACAACTTGTGAGGAATCTGGAGTGAAGCTTGGGAAAATGGGTTATATGTGGCCGTGCATTAATATTTTCTTATTATTTTATTTTGTTTCCTAAAATCTTTGAGGGGACTGAGGAAAACAAGATGTTTACTGTTATTTAATACTGTGGTGATACTTTCACATTAATTACAAAGCATTTGATCTTATCTTACCATAGAGTGTGGCAGTATGTGAAAAACTCCAACAACTTCCACTTCAGTTTCAGCGTAACTTGTATTTTGTTGATATAACTGTGACTTAAGATGCATGTTATGATTTCCTATTCTGTTTTTTTTTCCAAAACACTTAACAAAGCTCTACAAACAGCATTTTTATGAACTCCTTGCTACCTGAAGTTCTACAGTTGTATTCAGTTCTCATCCAATTGTTGTCTTAAGAAAAACATGCTTAGATTGAGAATGTCCTTGATTATGGAATATTTCAAAAGGCTTAATACCCCCTTGTGTATTTTACAGACAACCCTGGGCTAGTGAGCCATGTTCCAGTTGGCATTAGAATCCTGGATGTCAATGACAACCCTCCAGAGCTCGCCAGAGAGTATGAGATAGTGGTCTGTGAGAATGCAAAGCCTGGTCAGGTAACTGTCACAGTTATCTTTATCCCAGTGAGAGAGATGAATGATTTTATTTCTGTTAATGCCACATCTGTAACATTTGATCAGGCAATATGTAAGAATGATAATTCTTCTTAATTACATTTTTATATGTCACATTATTTTTTTTAGTGGTATTATACTGAAGGAAGTAAACCTGGAATTTGTTCCAGATATCTATCTTGTTGTGAAAAAAAAAATCTTCAGTGAAAATGGTTAAATATTAATCTTGTCACATAATAGAGATCTTGTAAAGCCACTATCCTGAACAAAACGGATGAAGATGTAACATCTCTCACTGAAGTTGCCATGTCATGGCAAGGTTTCATATATACCTTAGGGCAATGGCAGATTAACATGGCTAGAGTCCATGCCTGTTGATAGCTCATAAGAGCTTGTATGAAAAGTCATGGTAAAGGTGAACCTGTTTGTGCAGGCTCACTGTACAAAAGATGCTGAACAAATTTTCACAGCTATGAGGATTCTGAGGATCAAAGTTGAGACTGGATAACAAGATAACATCATCTTTTGTCATCGCTGCACTTCATTGCTGTCAATGGTTGGACAGTTTAACTTAGCTCCTTTGCTGTTTTGCCAAGGTTAAGCTTTTAGTTCGCATTTGATGCTATCTGAACATTATTACATAGTTCATAGGTTGTAGTTGTGAGCTCATATCTTTCTTAAGGAAGACATTATTAATAATTGTTTCCTCATGAAATGTTTAAAATAACTGTACATAAATGCCAGGTGGAAATGTTGCATTTTATGTGAGGATATAAAAATGCCGTCCTGTATCAGACAAAGGCTTTCCAAATTATCTTGCTTCTAACAGTGGCCAAGAGTTTTCAAGCTTAGAGAACAGTGTAAGAACAGGGCAAGCATATGTGCTAGTTCCTTCATGTATTACAATGGTTTCAGATCGTTTGCAGATTACTTCCCAATTCTGATCTACGTGTGATTTCTGTATTTTTAATAATCCTCTCACATGAATCTACCTAGCTTCACTTTGGACAGATAAAAGCTTCAGATACCTGCTGCGTCTTACAGCAAGGAATTTACAGATTACTTGTTGGCTTCAGAAAGAGCACTTTCTTGTGTTTATTCTAAAACTTCCCATACTGCCTTCATATGGTATTTACTAGTTCCTGTGTTGGAAGAGACAGAAAGCAGTTGATCACTATTTATCAATCACCATGCTATTCATGAATCTCTAGCATATCTCACCTTACCTGTCTATTGTTCAGATTGAAGAGTTCTACTTAGATGGAGAGGCCATGATAGAGACATTGTAGAACTTTAATGATGCTGCTTGTCCTTGTCTAAACTTTCTCCAGCTCCTCTCTGTTTGCCTTGAGGAGCAGAAATCAAGATTCAGATAGGTAGTTTTTGTCATTTCTTACCATAGTTTATACTTTATTGTATATGATGGTCTCTACTTTGTTCTCTAGTTAGTACTTTCATCATAATCCCTAACAGTGGATTTGCTTTTTATGCCCTAATAAGCACTGAATGAACAACAACACTTGTCAGAATGGCACTATTAGTGGTGACAGTCAGCTCAGAAATCATCATCACATATGTGAAGTTAAGGCTTGCCATTATGTATACTAAATTTCACCTCCCTCAGTCTGGCTACTGAGTATTAGGTCTTGACTGTCAGCCCTGCTTTTTCTCTGCATTGAATAACTCTGACCAGCAAATGGTCCAGCTTAAATCTCTGTGGAATGCCTTTCAATGTGGGAACACACCATTTAGAAAGGAGACCCCTATTTACTATTTTGTAAGCAATTACTTGAGAAAGGATCTTCTCTCTTATCTTATAACTATATAGTTTTCTAAGGAGCTCTTACTCAGAGGTCTTGCTGAAAATCTTTCTGAATACCTCAAGTATAAGAAAACTTGTAAAAGACCAATTATTTAAAAATGCGTGGTTCTCTTTGAACAATAATTGCAGTTGGTATCAACATATTATTATCTTTTAAAATTTATGTACTTTAAAGACAATACGTATCTTGAATAGACACGCAACAAAGCTGATGCAGAAATGCTGTGTTTCCCTTGGGTTTTTTGAGTCACTAATGCTTCCTACCAGCAAAGTTTTAACTGTCCAAAAGTAGTTTGTATATGAAACTTGAAGGGGGGGACATTTAAAGGTTCAGCCATGTTTTCTTGTAACAGTATTTACTGCTGATTTGTATCTGCGTTGTGTTTCTGGAGCTGCTGTTCTTACTGCGAATGATTCTGTGACCTCTGCAGCATTGCAATTTAACACTCAAGATTAATACTGCTGTGAAAGGCTCTATAGGCAGGGGAGCTTGATAGGAATGCTTGGATCAGCATCTTGGTGTATATCTAAACTAGCAGGACTGCATTATGTATGTCATCATATAGCACAGTAAAGCTTCAGAGAGGAGTGTAATATCATTGTGCTGTACAAAAAAAAAAAGGCAAATCACAAGAGTATATGGCCCTTGCTTGAAAGATCTTACTGTCTAGCTTAGGAAAGGAAATGAGAGTGTTCAACAAGCGTTAAGGAGGAAGAGATAAACAAGAATAACAGAATATGACAACTGTTGCATATGCTAAGAAGTGTGCCCAACTGAGTGGTTCTGAATCACTGAAAAGACAGTATTTACTCTGATTTATCCATCATGGTGTGAGAATGATTCAGAAGATAGATAGATCACTAAAGAACAAATTCCATCAGGTACTGTGGGTTCTTAGAGCATTTCTACTTGACTAGTGCTTGTTATTAAGTTATTAGGCATCCAGCCTGCCCTGAACTGACCTCTAAAAGTTCTTATTTCTTTCCCCAGGAGGTCTAGGGAGACTAGCTGCCTCCCTGCAGCACTTAGGGGTCTTTTTTCCCAGAGCTCAGTTTCAAAATTATTGTGTGCAGAATAAAGTGATTGTTTGCTTTTGAAAGACTTTCTGCATTTTACTGCTTATTTATTTTTGTAAAGAACATCTATGGAGAGGATTTAATTTCACAGCCTTTCTTTACTGCTTCCTTTTCTCTCCAATTTATTTGCTTAAAAAAAAGGCCAATAAAACTTAAGGAAGTGTACTTAAATGAAACCCCTAGGGCATCTCAACTGGAAAATGCTAGTGAGAAGACGATCATTTCAACGTTTAAGTCATACTTTTTTCCTTTAGCAGTCACCTTGTTGAGAAAATACATTCTGTATCCAGATGAAGCATAATAGATATTACATCCTCATGTAAATTTACTTAATTACTGATTCAGGTCTGACATGGATCTGAGTAGAAATTAGTGCCTCTCCTGTTTCCTATTCAGTTAGTCCTTCTACCTTATTGAGATTCTTTCATGTATTTAAAAACAAACCATAAGTCTTCATTTTCATCCCTTTGCTGTCAGTGAGCTTTACCACAGTTGAGGATCTGTGTCTATATTCTTGTTTTAATCAGCTTTGGTAAAGTTAATGCCTATTAATAAGCAAATAGTTAATTGGTTTATTATTAAAGGGTTAACAGTACATTTTGATGTTAAGAGAATGCACACACTTGTTTCAGATGTCTGAAAAGCTGAAAAGACTTCATTGAAATCTTCTCCCTAGAAACCATGAACCTTTATTGAGAAGTTTCAAGTACATTTTAAAGCTAGTAGACTGCATGGGGGCCTTGATCAAAGGTGTTTTTCTTTTTTTTTTCTTCAAAATGGCATGTTTTGATGCAAGATGCTGTAAAATGTCACTGAACGCTTTATATAACATAGGGCAACAGGACAAAAGTTTATCTACAAGCTTGTCAAAGAAAAACTGAAAGTGCATGGCAAAATGACATTTTTTCACTGATAAACAATGCTGAAGATTTCTAAACTATTTAATAAAATGCTTTTTTTTCTAAGATCGCTTATCTGAATTTTAGACAAATTCTGATAATACTTATCAGTATTTTTAGTAGTTGTGTTTCAAGAAGGCTCACTTGAAAATATTCTTTTTTCAGCTACCCTTTTTATCTTGCTTTGACTCATATCATCTCTATATTAACTAATATGTGTATTTAAGATGTTCTTGTATTTCTGGTTTTATATGTTGTTTTTTTTTCTTCCATCTTTTCAAAATTTGAAAGAGAGTGATTAGCTTATACCAAAAATTCTCACCAAAGCTGCTGTGCCTTTGACAAACTTCAAGATTTTATTTCAGATATGCAAAGGCTTGGCAAAAAAAATATCATGGCAAACCTTAAAAATACTCTTAGCAGCATAATTATGAGCAATATTGCTAACTTGTTCAACAGTTTCAGGCATATATGGTCTATAATCTAGTCATTCGAGTTTGCTTGCTTCAAAATGTTTTTTTTTTTCTTTTTTTCTTCACTTGTCTGAGTATAGACTGAGAACTGTGTGTTGTTTTCTAATCTGAAAATAGTCAGGACCACATAAGCCCTCACTGTTTACATTTTAGGTTTGGTCCAGGTAGGATGTTCAGTCGAACACTGAACAGAAAAAAAATCTCATGATCTCTCTCTCTCCTCCTTCTAATTTTCCTTGTCAGGTTTGCGCAATGGTCTGCTTCATATTCACTGGATATATCACAAAAACATCCTTTATTAAACTCTACTTTGGCACTTCCAACTTCCATGCTCAGCATCAGTGTATAGTCAGAGCTGTTGCTTTGTCAAACGTTCCAAAAACTTAGCTCATTTTTAGTTGAATTTAAAATTGAAAAATCATCAGAGCTTTTGAAAGGTTTTACCTTTCAAAATGCCTCTGCAGTACACAGTTTCTACATTTGGTTCCTTCTGGGCAAACGAAGAGTGGCTGCTGTTCTTAATGTTCTGTTCTCTGACAATTTAAAGCTGATTCCTAAATTTTAAATGGTGAGCTGGTATTACATGTTGATGATTTCGGTTATTATTTTTTCTTTAACAATATTAATCTACATCTAATTATTTTGGAAGCCAGCAAATAATACTCTGTGTAGACTTAAGGTGTTCACGCTCAATTTTGGCTCTATAAAAGTGCATGTTTAGACATAACTGTAATTCTGAAAGTCACCAGGAAGCAATGTAGATGATGAAAAAAAATGTACCAGCTGACCATATTAGAATGTCAGAAAGTATAGATGTTTTAAATTATTTTATCTACCTCTACAGCAAGGTTCCTAAAATATTTCATGCTAGAGAAACCAGGCTAATGGGCCAGTCATTTCACAGGTTGAATGTGGCAGCAGTCAAGGAGAAAATTAAAATAAACTGAGTTTGAAAATCCTGCCGAGGTTAGGAAATACTTGGTCAAGTTCAAATTTCAACACATTCACTTTCAATTTTTATTTCAGGTAATTCAGACTATTAGTGCAACCGACAAGGATAACTCGGCAAATGGTGCAAGATTCCATTTTTCTCTTGATGAAGGGCTTTCTATGAATCCCAACTTTAGTCTAAGGAACAATGAAGGTAAATCAAAGCTATGAATCGGCAAGAAAAGAGTCTCTGCTTTGTCTGGGATGTTTCGTTGAGCAGATCAATTTCCATCCTTGTATTTCTACACAGAAGGGGAAAACTGTAATCTCTCGTCACTGAACTGGCTGATAGGAGGCACATGGTGATGTATACAAAATTTTGCAAACTGTGAATAATCACGTATTCTCTTCCTTTTGTAGGTATATATATCTTTAGCATTTATACATCATGTTTTGAGTCTTTTTGGATACATTCAGGAATGTCTTTAAAAGTAGGTTGATGAAAGTATGCTGGCATTTTGGTGGGTACAGGCAAGTTTATTGCCCCTTGAAAACGACAAATTAAGATTTTAAGAGGCATAAAAGCTTGAATTCATGCTTGCCCTTACTGGTTGAATACCAAGAGTATATTTGCCAGTCCTTCCTGGGAGATAATGTCTCTTTGTATCCTTCCTAATAAAATATACCTAAAAATCAGAAAATCATAGCAAATAGGCCCGGAGGGAAGAGTGCCTTCAGAGTCACCTAGCCAAGTCTTTTTGAACATTTCTTAAATGAAAGAACCATCTAGCCTTTCTAAATCACCAGATTGTACCTCACAGTCTTGTTGAAGATTGCTCCATGTTTTCCACTTCACAACTTGATGAAGATGAGCGTGAACTTTAAATGTTCATGTACTGCTTTCATTTATTTTCATTTTTTCATTGAATAGGTGGCAGAGGGAGGAGGAGCTGTATGCATGTAGGTAGAGAAAATCAGGTTTATTTTGCAGTTATATTTTTGCATTTGGTCCATGGTATACCTTCTGACAGCTTATAGCCGGTGTGCAGTGATTGAGAAGCATTAAATTCATCATTGTATCTGTGACATATATAGTGATTTTTAGATTATTCTTGATAGATATTTTCTGCACTATTTTTAAAAATCTTACAGGGAACCTTTCAGGACATTGCATAATCTTCCTGGAGAACCTGTTCCAAGGTTAAGTTATACATTCATTTAGAAAGAAAAATTTTAGCCAACAAATGTTATTTGTTCGGATATTTTCTTTGCTGTTCCTTTTTACTTCCCTAAGCACAGTGAGTGCTGGGTTTACTACCAACAGCTGAAGTCAGCATGTAGAGTATCCTAATTTATATTTTGTAGGGGAGGGTAAAAGAGGGGCCCAGACTCTGATAGTTATCCTTTAAAATTAAGACCTACTGCGAATTTTGTTTATCTAAAGAAATTTCAAAGAATGCACTTTCTCTAGCTGCTTGCATAGAATTACTGTATTTACCAAAACCCTAGAAATGTGATTTTCATTTTTTTCCTTATAGTTGATATAAAGACATTTTAACACAAATCATAGAAAGTAGTTTAACTGAGCAAACAACTAGAAAACTTAAAATTGCCACTGTTTTACTCAATACATGACTTTTGGATTGTGTTGTTTAAACATTGCCTTTTATTGAGATGTTTTCTTTACGGTACAATCTATATGTAAAATATGAGTGAAGCACTTGTAAAGTGTGTTGCCAATTCCAATTTTCTGGCATTTACTACTTTCATGTTTATCATCTATTCCTATTCATAAATAGAATTTCTCTTGCTTTCTAGTCTTTGAAATAGATGAGAGATGATGGGGAAAAAAAGTCATTTATGTCCATTACAAATTTGCACTTCAGAAAAATCAAGTTTTTGAGGATCAGCTGCTAAAAAAGAAAAACAAAAAAAAAAAATCCTTGAATGCTCTTGCATGTGCTAGCCACTATTTTTTTTCCTTCCTGTTCTTCTTTACAATTTTAAAGAGAAAAATAGAAGAGACAGATTATGATACCTTTTTTCCCTACTGGCTAGTTGTTATCCCACAGTATGTACTATGATTCTGGGTGAGGTTTTTCGTCTACTGACAAAGCACTGTTTAGAGAAAGCAAGTATGTAAGAGCATGAACAAAATATTGTGGTATCCATACACATGTAAACAGAAAAGAACAAGAGTGGTAATAAAATTTCTTTGCTATACAAGGAAAATACATTAAGTTGCAATCATTCCCTGACCTCTGCTGTTCTAGAAAGCAAACCCAGGTAAGATGCTTCTTTGTTTGCCTGGGATTTGTACTTATGATGGCTTTTTAATGAAAAACAACACTTTTGACAATTTATTTTGTTCAGCAAAATGTTGCAATTTTAATTAAAACCTGAGCTGCCAAACACTCGTGTAATTTGGAGGTGCTTTAATACTGCAGCTCAGATGCTGCATATCCCAGTTCTTCTTGGTTGACTGTCTTCCTTTAACTTTGTTTTTAAAGATGTTATTATAGATAATTTGGAAACCCTTTTCACTGTGTAAGTGTATAGATATGTAAGTGTTGGGAGGAGCTCTATGTGTGGGTATGTGAAAGATGTCTTAAATACACTGCTTTAGCATAATCTAATATATGTTTCGAATGTCCCACTTAAAACTTGTGAGGGCAGTATAGACTAAAAGAATCTTCCATCAGTAGAAAGATGAAAGGACCTATTCATAACAGAGCTGTTTGTTTGAAAGTATTCAGTTATGGAATCATACCTTTTTATGCTGAAAGAAACATGTATTTTTCCAGATGTTTAAGGAATAACTAATATATTTGTCAAACTGTGTTAGCTTGATAGCTAACAAAAGCTAGCCCCAAATACTAACTTACAGATGCACACATCTGCATCATCTCTCTTTCTCTCTTTCTGTCTCTGAGTTTAAGAAATCCCCTCTTTCTCCCTGTTTTCTAACTTAACTAGCGATCTCCTGCAAAAGTTACAGCATACTCTTCAGGCAGTTGGGAAAAGATTGAACCTCCAGGGGAGAGTTAGCTTAGATTTGAGAGAGCATTTATGCTTTTTAAATACTGCAACACAGGGTTTTGCTGGGGATTTTTTTCCCACAAGGCATGCGGTTTGTACTGCATGCTCCAATGACTCTTGCAGATTTGCTGGAATAAAAGTTTTGTTGCAGAGGCTGTATAGGGTCACCCAGCTGTGCCAATGTGATTTTTGCAGATGCAAAGGACAGAAACTAACTTAAAAGCCATATACAGTAACAAGTGGAAAGCTTGGTTTTCTAGGGTAATGTTAGACAGCTATTGCAGAGGGAGACAGTTATCTTTCTCCAAACCGTGACCATCTTTGTTTGCATCTTTTTTGAATAAAAATGTTGAATCCAAGGTTCACCAGAAGGATTAGTTAGTGCATAACATATGGGTTCTATATTTTCAGTGGTGCTACTTGTTGACGTTTCACAAACCAACCCATAAGCAAATAACTATGTTTCAGGACTCAAGAGTCTGCTATAGTGCTTTCCATTTTTGCTGCCCATGGAACTAGAAAGAAAGCCAATTGGCAATAGCTTTGGAATAGCAGCAAAGAAAAAGTATTTCCTGGAGTTATGAGTAAAAAGATGAAAAAAATGCATTTCAGTGCTGTCCTATATAAACAAATCAAAACTATTCTCATTCAGAAATACAAGACATGAAAATCATTTCAATTTTTTTAAGGTTTTAATTAATTATGACTTTTCAAAAATATATGAAAGTTGAATTGCTGATTTAAGCAGAGCTGGGAAGCAAATTAAAACATGCCTAAAGCTATAAAGAGATATTTTTTTTGCTTCCATTTCTCTTTTTGCCTGCCTGTAATGTATAATGTGTCAAAAGAATTCTCGAATTGTGAATAATAAATAAATTAGTATCCTCTAAAGTGCTCTGGTAATCACCTTCTGTGGTGTTATCATTGTATCTCTTCTTTGATTTTTCTTCATTAGTTCAGGATCTCAATATAAAAAGGCAGGGATGATGGGAAAGAGGAATGTGATAACAGCCTTGTGTATAGTTTGCAGTCTGGTTTTGTAGTTCATTTTTAGATGAACTAGTCTGCTTCATTGGACATATGCAGAATTTCCTATATGTAAGCTCAAACCCAGCTGAGATGAATCTTAAGTTCTGATTTGTCATGTTTACAAAGGGCAGCCCAAATGTGAAAAAGTTTAACAATCATGAACTGGGGCAATGTGCACCACAGGGAATGTGATAAATTTTGTTAACCTACATTGGAGCTGTTAATTTTCCCGTAGAAAGCAAGGCCTTCATCTCCATCAAGTCCTCATTCTTATCTTACTTCTCAGAGACAAAATTCACAGTTGAAATCCGTAGAGGAATAAAAAGAGTTCTTCTTCTGGGCCTAGCAGGATCATGTCCATAGTTGTTATCTAATTCTATTGTTGCCCTTCTGTACACCTGCCTCTCCTGCGTATCTGCCGTATCAGTTTGTAGGTGTCATACACTACCCTCCTCTCAACTAGCTTAGTTCTTTAAAACCCTTTCCTAGGTTGTCAGTATCTGCCTTTGTATTCAGGTGTCTTTAACTTGGATAGTTTGTGATATTTTCTTATTTAATACTAGGTTTCTTGTCATAAAAATAGCTCTCTCACTTCCCCTCTCAGCGGGTCTTCCAACAGTTTTTGATGAGGAAAGTGAACCATTTAATTAAAGCATAGAAAGTTAAAAGACATCAGAATAACTGTCAGGATGCAGATGAAACTGCAATTTGGCTGAACTTTTATTATTTCTCCATTTTGCTAGTATACTCTTCTGTTGCCCTCAAGAGTAGAACTCTGGCAATGTCATAAGAGACGTGATTTCTATTTGATGCCAATGTCCTTACCTTAGCTCATTGGCCACTATCCTTGTTTCTCAGTGACTCAAAAAAATCTTAGTCTCTTCCCCTCTCTGTACATCTCATTTGTAAAGTATCTTAAAAGATTTAATGAGGAAGAACACCATGTAAGAGCTAGGATTCTTTTCCTACCCTCTGTGTAACTTATTATTGCAGTAGTGAGAAATAGAATTGTTGATGATAATGGGAACAGGGAATTTCTGAGCTAGTACCTAACAGCTTATGACCCTACTTTTTACTTGTGTGCAAATTTGTGAAATTGTATTGAAGGAGAAGTTTTACTTGTTTTCTTGGAGAAAGTTTCTGGTTGTGTTTGTTACAAAATCTCCTCCATGTGTGTAAAGAAAAGTCTATTTCTACCAAACTCTAGCTGTTACTCAGAGAATACAAACACCACAAATTAACCATGATCCCATTTATTTCGATGCCATTATATAAGTGGAAAATTTGATTCCAGCTATATTTTGGCTGAAGATTGTCTCATATTAATATTTACTTTTACAATGTCAAAATACTGCTAGAAAGTAAGTCTTATTTTGTCCAGTTTTTCTTTGTAACATGCAGCATAAAAATGCAGGTTTCATGGGTGAAATTGTCCCATACACACACTATGCATGTTTTAAATGCAGCTCTTTCAAGATTTCTTCACCGTAACCTCAGAATTGTCCACTTAGTCTGTATTGTCAAGCAGATTTTTGTTTCATTTTTCTTTTTGATTTTTTTCTTCATAATATTTTCCCCATCTGTCCACCGTTATGCTTATAGCATATCAATGCTCACCTCTCCATGTTCATTCCTTGGCAGCTTTGCCACTAATGTTTTGTGCCTGAATCTTTCATTACTGCTCAGTTGCTACAAAAGTCATCTGTGACTTCAACCTTGCTTGCTCAGTTTTTCTTCAGTATAATAGGTGTATGATGCTGTTCTTTTCAGCCCGCATTTTCATCCCTGCTTCTGGAGCTGTACAGTAGTACTGGACCACTCACTCCATGTTACATTTATGTTAGGGAGGAATGTGGGAGGTTATGCTTCTCTGCTCAGATTTGAATATTGGGTCTTCCTTGGATATAGGCCCAGGAACATTCATGTGAACCGAATTTTATGAGGTTTTCTTACTTATATAGACAAGGTAGCTGAACAGGAATCTTTGAAGTTTATTGAAAATAGAACAACAGAAATAACAGAACATATTAAGCAGAAATAAAGGACTATTCTTATGATTGGTAATAACACTTAGCTATTGGAGTTAGCTGTGTTAAGATCTGAGGATTTATTCCTTTTGGTATGAGAGCCGTGGCAGATGTTAATATTAATGCTTAGGTTATGGTTATGGATATGGTATCGCTTGTTACCAATAGGAAATTACCTCTCAAGCTGAGTCCTTGAACATAGCTTTAGTTTTTAATGCATTATTTGTAGATAACTTTGTTGTGTGGTTGTCATCTTTTCATGTATTTATAACATGAAATATCATTCTCCTTAGGACTGTGCACCTTTGAAATTGTTTTCTCTTTGTGTTGATAAGTGCACCGCCTAGAAAGGGCATATGGGAGCGTTACACTTCTCTAAGGACCTCTCTGGGATTTCTGGGTGACTGGTAATAGTTAGACTTTATTTTTTTCTGTGGCAATGTAAGTGCTGAGGAAATAAAAATAAAAACAGAACAACAACCCACAAAGAAGGACAGCACTGGGCCTATTCTCAGCACTGAGGCCTGAGAACACAGACTGACTCCATGTACGCAGTGTAGCACTTGACCTTTTAATCTCCTCAGGGCCCCACATGGTACCCAGTGGATCTCAGATGTCATTATTATGTTTTTTTTAGTTTTCTGTGCCAAGTTTATGAACTAATGCAGCAGTGTTGTCATGGCATGAAACAGGCTGCATGCTGCAAGGAGTGCGACTCAGGGGCATTTAAGGGTGCGTAAGGTCCACAGGCTGCTGGAACAGTGTCGGAGCACTGTTCAAAGGGGACGGACCTGCTGCTCTCCTGCCCGTGCTGCTTTTGGAAAGGGTCCCTGGTGTATGCTCTTCCCCAGACTGCGGTCACATAGTATCTGAGAGAGTTCCAGCTGGCCCATCCCAGGCTTGGTGCTGACATTTAGCAGTGGTCCCATGCTTACACTCAACTCTCCAGTCTTGTCTTGTTTAACAGTCTGCTAGTGCAAGAGATAAAATGATAGAGATGAGCTCTGTTAATTATGAATTGGATGCTAAACAACAAGAAAATCAGCAGAGCTGATCATGCCTAATGCTGAGGTGATGATGAAGATTTTTTCTGAAAACAGAAAGGAAGGAGCAGCAGTCATCATCTTGTATATATACTGAGAGCATTAACTTAGTTTTATGTAAAATAATGTATTCATTTGAAATTAGATGCTAATAACAGAGGTATTGGTTCATCTCTGATCTTTGGCTGTGCCTAAAGCACAGTCTGCCAGTTCTTTGGCAGCTGACAGACAGATCAGCTCACACTCATTTTGTAATGTCTACTGGCTTGCCTTTATGAACCACTGAAGATGTTATTCATGTCCTCCAGCAATACTAGGGAAGCTAGGACCTGATAGTCTGGCATAAAAAAACATATGGCTGAAAAATTAAAAAAAAACATGTAGGCAATCTACCTGCTTGTAATCTGTGTTTTTTAAAACTATCTCCCTGTCTTATGAGTAATTTAAAATAAACCACTGAGAGTGTTCATGTATTGCATTTAATTAGAAGATCATGAATGTCTCAAAGAATAAACTGGTCCAAATCTTGTCAAATCAGACTTGTGAATTTTCCATATATTTTAGAATTAAACTGGCAGAGTCTAGGTAGTGCTATTTTGACAATTACGACACAAAACTATTTGCTATATAAATTGATTGCAGAATAATGTGGCACTCATTTATTTGTTAACAATAAGATAATGAAAAATCTCGGCATTAATGACAACACCACAGGTGTTTGTATGAGGTTTCACAAGCCCATATTTAGCAATATGCAAAAGAGCTAAAGCTTAGCTGAATTTGTATAAGAATGAAAGTACTATTTCTTGCATTCAATATAGTTTAGACTGTGCGATCCCCTTGTGTCAAATGCAAGTACAGATTTACCATGTTTATTATTATCACATCTCTTCTGGGCCTATTTTGTGGATCACTGAAAACACCCTTGTATTTTTATGGGGAGAAGAAGGGTGGAAGCATGTGTGCATGCAGCATCTGTCAACTTGGCAAAGAGAGGAGTGTGCTCCATGAAAATATTTTATAACCTCTGTGCAAGTATCATTTCCACGATGTAACAATGTTAGGTTTTTGTCAGGTCATTTCAGATAGAATTATCTATTCCTGTCATTTTGGTTTTAGTAAGGGTCTGTAAATGGAATGAGTTAATACAGATGTCATTTTAAGTGGCTGTTGTCATGCCTCTAAAGAAGAAGCTATCATGAAGTTCAGGTTGAGTCCTCAAAAATATACAATGACAGCATATTCAGCTAGAAAGGGGCTTAAGGGGCCAGCTGCAGAACAAAATCATATATTGCACCCACTGGAAATGAAAACAAAACTTATTGCGTTCCCAGCCAACTCACCATACTGGAGTTTTCCAAGTAGGGGAGGGTACAGAATAAAGTCTAACAAAATATAAATGAACTTCACCCGCATTTCTTGGCTCAGCTCATGGTTCCTTTCTGATCTTGGTCAAGGGTAATGCTTCCCACCTCATATGAATCTCTCATGTGAAACCTGTTACCAAATGTATTGTGTTATGGTATGATGCTGATGGAGCTATAATACCAGCTTTTCCCAGTACCATGCTCAGGTCACAGGCAAAAGCAAAATGTAGAGTGAAATGAGTTAAAATAAATCCTTTAAAATCTGCCACAGATCTTGACAGAAGATAAGATGTAAAGAATTGTCCTCCGGTAAACAGTTTGCATCTAGTTTAACAAAAGCTAGCCCCTCTTCCTTTGCAAGTTCATGTATACACATGCGCAGTAGTCAGTCCAATGGCCTAGAAGATGCCACACTCCCTGCTGTATTGCACAGGATTTTCATGTAGCTCTGTGGACTTCATTTTGTCCTAGGTTATGAGAAATGCATTTATAGCTATAGTTGTAAGTAAAAAGGAAAAGTTTTCTATTCCATATATAATGGCAATAAGAACCCAGTAGACATACTGTTTTTATGCACCTATCACCCCTGTGTTGTTTGCTAAAAAATTCAAAACCAGCAACTCTGCAGTTTGGAATCTATGTGATCGTTGTGCCTGTGGGAGTAGTAGGAGAGGAAAGCTCTTTTTTCCAATAACTCTCTTCCCATTTCCCAGTGCCCGTTGCCTTCTCTGAACAACGTCTCCTCTCATTCTCACTCTCTCTAGTTTTGTTTATCTGAGGACTCTTGTACAACTGCCAGTACTTTCACAGTGGTAGAAAGAAACTGAAGTGTTATGCATATGACAATACAATATATCTCTATATTATTGTAGCATTTCTTCCCCTGCACTCTTTTTATGCCCCTTAGCTTCTTGCAGGAGCAATGAGTGGCAGCTTATTTTTTATAGTTATGCAGCCTTGGTCTTAAATTAATGCCACTGGATGCCTTGGCACTGTGCATGAATTAAACATTAGTATTCTCATTGTCTGTAATATATGCCAGGGGGACCTGTAGGTGACATAAAGGTGACAAAACTTTACATCACTTTCTCTCCCCTGACCCTGCTTTTCTATAACCTTCACCAGTTTAGAACCTCTATTCTTTTTCCCTCCTATGCCTTTTTCATCCTGATCTTCCCAAAGAGCGAGATTTTGTCCACTGTCCTTTCAGATATTCTCTGAGAGATCACTTGAGTTAGGAAACCTATCACAAGGAGTGAAACAAAAGTCTTACTCTGGCTTTTAGTAAAGACATTTTAACATTATTCTAAGAATGGAAAAGAGTTATTGCTGTGAAGGAATTCCACATATTCCCATTTACAGGTGTCCATACACTGCCATCTGGGGATTAAAATATTTGCAAAGTTGGCCCAGAATGCTTATTAAAGTTCACTTGAACTCTAAAGACATTTATATGACTTAAGTGATCTTATTTACATGATGTTATCTACTCTCCCCTGCGCTCCTGTTTTTGTCCATTGGCCAAAGCCTCCATTGGCTTTCCACTAGGTTTTAATTCTAGATTGTACATTTTCACAGATGAGAACTGCACTGTTTGAAGATGCTTGATGGTTCTGTTGCACGAGAAAAAAACTGTCAATAATACCTTTTGACGATGTTATTCTGGTTTTGATATTGTAGATAACACAGCCAGTATCCTGACAAGACGAAGGAGATACAGTCGAACCACTCAAGATGTCTATTACCTCCCAGTTTTGATTTCTGATGGTGGGACACCCCCTCTGAGCAGCAGCAGCACTCTCACCATTAGGGTCTGTGCCTGTGAGAGGGATGGGCGCGTGAGGACTTGCCATGCTGAAGCTTTCCTCTCCTCTGCTGGCCTGAGCACAGGAGCTCTAATTGCAATCCTGCTCTGTGTTGTCATTCTTCTGGGTAAGCCATTTTCAGTCTTAAGAACCGCTGTCCTTCCTCTAGCTCTCTGCATGTGGCAGGGCAGAAATGTTTAATATGATGTGTTTTTCACCAGAGGACTGCCTGGTAGTAGGAGGTAATTAGAAACACACAGCTGACATCAGGAAGGAAAAGGTTGTGCCAAAATTAATAGGAAAAAATGCCTTTAAATTAGATTTATAGATATCTGGAATCCACCTGAAATAATTTTTCAGACGTTATCAAGTAATTAGCACTGCAGATCTTTCTTGGGTAATTTGGAAAGATTTCAGAAAAACAGTGAACCAAGTTCTATGTCTAGAACAGTTTGCAAAAAAATTGAAAGGAGATGAGGAAAGCTTTTTGAAACACATTATGCCTTAAGAAGTACCATTAGCACTGTACAAAAGCCATTTCTTAATTACCTTTGTGGGTGAGCTGATAGCAATGCACACCAGAATCCCCAGGGGCAAGGGATATATGAGCTAATAAGATGACTCCATTAGATAAATTTCATTGGGATTGCACTTCTCTTGATTTTTTTTAATTTCGCCCAGGTCAATTTGAATGTTGTCTATTAATATTCTTTTTGGTAGGGCCACAACTTGCTGCAACATATTCCTGTACTATTTGTGTGCCTTTCTGCATTCTAATAAAGGTGGCAAGAAATAATGGATTTGCACTGTGACCCACATACCAGGACATTCAGAGGTTTTTTTTTTCTGAAGTCTTTATGTTTTCTAAAGACTACTTTCATCACAGGTTACTTCAGAACTGTGTTTTTTACAAGGTGCTTTAAAATGAACAGCAATACATTTAGTTTATAATTTATCTTTTATCATACAATATTTCACATTTACAAGAGAAAAAATGGACATTGCAGATACACAGTGAATAATGATTTTAGTGAACCTTTGAAAGCGTGTAACAATGTTTCTGAAAAATCTCAGCCTTCTCATTTAACTTATCATTTAACTGAATGTATGTTACCCCTTTTATATTCTCTATGAGGTTATTTTGTGGATTTCATTATTGGCTCAAGAAACCTCAGCGGTTCCTGCAAAGTAAGCACAAACAAGAAATAGTATTTTTATGGACCCCTGGGAAAACCAGTCTGTACTGGAAGTTTCCAGCTTCACTATAACATTCAGTTGTGTGGCCATAGTTGTGTGGCCCCTACTTGTTGCGTTTTGGCAGGATGCTGTCTCAAAACGTGCTTAGATTTTGGGGGTGCTTTCCAGACATACAGTAATCTGTCCTCATAGAATGAATTATATAACAAAGTCATTGCTCACTTAAAGCTGTAACTAGGCTTTTGCAAAGTTTGGAAACTCTAGGGATCTGGTATTACAGACATATCCTAACCAAATGGTACTACAATCCAAGGGCAGCCTAATAATGCCAGAATAGCAAATTAGCCTAAAAGTATTACACCTCTAAATTCATGATTTTTTATCTGTTGTTTTTGTAACATATATCTGTTTACTTCAAATGTAAACTTTAAACCTAATATCTGCAGTTTTCTCTTTAGCAATTGTGGTCCTTTTCATCACCCTAAGACGTAGCAAGAAGGAGCCCTTGATCATTTCAGAAGAAGACGTCCGGGAAAACGTCGTCACATACGATGATGAGGGTGGTGGAGAAGAAGACACTGAAGCATTTGACATCACAGCACTGCGAAACCCATCAGCTGCTGAGGAGCTAAAATATCGCAGGGATATTCGTCCTGAAGTGAAGCACGTACCCAGGCATCACCCCTCTTCAAGCCTTGACAGTATAGATGTTCAGGAGTTCATTAAACAAAGACTGGCAGAGGCAGATATGGACCCCAGCGTGCCTCCATATGACTCCCTACAGACTTACGCCTATGAGGGTCATAGATCAGAAGCTGGCTCAATCAGCTCCCTGGATTCAGCCACAACACACTCTGACCAGGATTATAATTACCTTGGAGACTGGGGGCCTGAATTTAAGAAGCTAGCTGAACTCTACGGGGAAATAGAATCAGAAAGAACAACTTAGTTGTAATTCCAAGAACGGAGAAGTTCCTCAGCAGCTGGAGATACAAGAACAGCACCAGTAACAATAAATGAATTCAGTACTTGGAACTGAGCAAGTTGTACACAGTTACTGTAGAAACAAGTGCCCTTTTCATATTTGAAACTGGGTTCTTCAATTGGAAGAAAGTCAAATTTTGAAAAATACAGAAAAAATAAGCTATTGTCCCTTGTGTATATTTTTTAATTGCTCAATAAAGTCCGTGGTGCCGTAACCGTAACAATACCTAAATTAAGCCAAGCAATGACGTCTTTATTGCAATATGAGCTACTGCAGTAAGTCTGTGGCCATGCTGGTTTAGGAAGGTAGCTCATGGAAGGGCAAACCTGTTGCAGATGGTTGTGACATTGCATTTCTAACTGTTCCCTAGGCCTTGTTTGATTCCAATATGCGGTAGCCATGCTACCAGTGTGAGAAGTCCTAGCAGTCTCTTCCTTTACAGAAGGGATATATTACAAATGCCCTCTCAAATAAACAGTCCGTTGAGATAGACCCTTATTTGCATTAGTTTGATCTTAGTGAATTTGCAGGTTGCACTGAGAATATGTCATTTCATTATATTCTTCATCATCTTTTCTTCCCTACCCAGCTATCAGAGCGAGGGTGTAATTAACTGTCTACAGAGCAAACATGGTTCCATCACATGGCCCCAAAGCTGCTCTGTTCCTGGAGGAACTATTGTGTCCGTGTGTGTGCTTTTTCATTTTGTCCTTTCACAGCAATATCATTCATCTAAATGGCATGGGTCTGAAAGAGTCTTTATGCAGCGAGGCACATGAAGCACTGGCTCTTTCAGCAATGGCAGCACCGTTTAACTATGCAGTTGCTTGCTTCACTGTGCTTCACTTAGGTCAATAGATGATGCTTTTGAAGTCTTTTGCTGCTTTGAATCGAGAAGCTACCACAGTTAATTGATGATCAAGAGTTCATAATCCTAATGTCTCTATTTCCATGTGTGACTAAAAGCAAAATAGAGCTGCTGGTGAGATACTGGAATAGAGATGATTGGAACAACTAGGAATTTAAGATGTTGCTTTTTAATTTTAAGTTAATTTGATTTAGTTCTATTAATTTCTCCTAATATGTTTTCTCTCTAAGCAAGCTTTTATTATGGGAACAGGAATGTATTTTAAATCAGTTGAGGAGGAAAAATTGAACGTAGAAGTGCCATTATTGAGGTCTCTATTGATCTGTTCTGTTTAGTAATTTCTTAGCATTTGCATTCATTTAGGGTGTTGCTTTCCTTCAGCTTAGAAGAGAAGGGAGTGCTGTTTTCTCGAGGCAGGATCTGACCTATAGCGGGCCTCACAAGTGAAGCAAAATTTTATTTAGCCTTTCTTTCTTTACTATAGAGGGTAAGGACCAGAGGGAGGTACAAGACACGTCTAGAGTGTTTCATCAACCCATATGGAATGAATCTTGCTTTGAGAATTTTTATTTTTAAGGACTCTTTGTGATTTTGTTGATTCCTTTTGGCTTACAGAGCTTGCTGAAAAGAAGCAGGTAGCTTTGAAATAAACTTCTTAAATTCTAAAAAAAGTATTTGTTGCACTGTACTTGCAGTACTTTTTAACTACACTGTTTTTCTTTTTTTTTTTCAAATGAAACAAATTTGTGCAAAACATTTATGTAGCATAAAATAATAACAAAAGAATTACATGCTTTGGGAACTTTGACATTTGCAAATGTTAATGTTTCCTTTTCTGTCATCATTCACACTTTTAATTAAGACAATTTAGACAATTTAGTGGGATAAAGCCCCAAACCCTCATCTTTGGCTACCCCCAAACAATCATCTTCTGCTTAATAATCTGTGCTGTTCTGTCTTTTTTTGAATTACCAAAAAGACAAATCTTCCTACGAATGCATTTAAGGAGATATTCTCATTATAGAGAAAGGTTTAACAGAGAAGCATCGGTTAATACAGTGAGAGTTTCGCACAAACTGATGGTGAATGTATGCGAATGGGTTTTGGGGTAGAATTAGTGTGTTCTGTCCCAAGTAAAGCAACTAATATTGCAGAATTTTGTGAAGAGAAATTTCCTTCTCCTTTAGGAGAAGCCTCTGCTTTACGCTAACATCTCAATTTTTATGCAGTATGAATATAGCAATGGTATGAAAATGTTGACAATTGCAACATTTGTATTATCATGGGCCCTCATACTTTGTACTGCATATGATGAAACTGCATCTGTGTTGTTGTTTGGAGACCCAGACACTAGTTATATTTTTGTCTCTCACCCCACTCCTACACCCAAATAAGTAAAGTCAACCGCATTTAGTGCTTCAAGCAGTATTTCAGACATTATCTCCTTTTTGTTTGCATCATAGAGCAATTCATATTTCAGACATTATCTACTTTTTGTTTGCATCATAGAGCATTCGTTTGTTTGCATCATAGAGCATCATAGAGCATACAAAACTCTGGTTTAGAGCCAGAAGCGAAGTGCAGTGACAAAGCAAATGCTCACTTCTTAAGTTCATGTTCTGATTAAGTTAATGAGGAAAGGGGAGGTCGTGTTTCATAGAAATAAGGATCTCCCTTTCCTCACTTGTCACATCCCTCTCCCTTAGCTGCTGCCCAGCACAAGTAGCAGGCTCACGGCCCAAGGAAGTCTGCGTCATTGCCGAGAGCCCACGTCGCTCATGCTGTGGTCTGTCCTGTTTGATGCGTCCTACCCATGTGATCGCCAGAGGTGCTTTTCTATCACGATAGATATCTGCATGCTTGCTATGCTTGCTGTCTCTTACTCAACTACGATCACAGTGCCGTGTTGTTTGCATGACAAATACCAGAATATTGAATCTTTGGGGCCACAGCAAAAGGCCTCACATTGCAGAGCAACAGGTTTGCAGATTTCTTTCCCCGATCCCACAAAGTTTTGTTCCTTCTTATCCTAGAAACAAATCTGAACTATTCTTAAGAATTTCTATGTCAACATTGATTAAACATAACTAGCACTGTGTTTCATGGAAGCCACGATCATTTTGTTGCATTGTCGGTTTAAACAAAGTGTACATTCAGTGGAAGTATTGTGGGAAAATCGTTTCTAGTTTATGGTTAAGTCTGACTGTATGGACTTTGCTAAAAGTTTTCATGGATCTTTTGTATACTCACATTCTCTAATATTTTTCTCTTAACCTCTATGGTAATTCTGTTGCCACTTATCAACTAAATGCTGAAAACTGCCAGTTTTACTTAAACCAGATGATGAATAAAGTTAAATGTCACATAGAAGGGATGCTTAAGGGCTTTCTAATTTACGGTATTATTTCTACAACAGCCAATTAAATAATAATACATTTACACCTAGTTAATTACTCACAATACCTCAAACAAGCCTTCTCTCTTGCGATGGCAGGGGCACACAGTATGTTATAATCTTCACAAGTCCTCTGAGAAAATGATCTGTGTAAAAATGAGAAGTAAAGGTATATTGGACATCTAAAAAAAATCAAAAAACGTGATACCCCTAAAAGTCAATGAAGAGCTTGATTTCCAGTGCTATTAGATTAAGATCCATACATTGAAAACAAACCAAGTTGTTTATCAGCGTTGCTATGTATTACATACATACAGAAAACTGTGTAAATGTTGAACGTAATTTCACTGTTATGCACTTTATTTTTTGCATTTCTCCTTGGAAAATGAAAATAACTGTGAACATTCTTATTTTCACAATCTATTTTATGCAGTTGTTTTAAGTGGCAAATCCTATAAGAAAATTTCTATGTGAAAATATTCTCATTGACATTTAACAGGAATTATGACATTTCTGTGGTCTTAAGCTTTGTAAAATTTACAAAAATCTAAATATTGGACCAGTCTGCAGTTAATCAAACTCCTAGTGTCATTCAAAGGATAATAAATGGTATGTTATAAATACAGAGCAGAATATGAAATTGTAATGCCTAGAGTAACTTTATGGATTATAAAGTGCTAAGATCTTGTACTTGCAGTGCACAGTGCATTCTAAGGAACGTTAGGAGCAGTGTTGCAAGTATTGGGCCATCCTTATTTTTCCAAAGTCTCCAAAAATATATATTTTTTAATGAGAGAGTAATGTAAAGTATGTAATATTCTATTAAATTAGGTTACAAATACCTCCTTATGCAAGTGTTACTGTTAGAAATTGTTACATTTCCTTTTAATAAACAAAAGGGACAAAATCTTCTATTCGTATTTTTCAAATAAAATATGCTGTTTGCTATGGTGATGGGTTGTTGTATTCCTCATCACAACTAGAACAACGGGTTATTTTCTCCTCGTGACTGTATTTTATACTCACCAAAGGAATCCATATAACCAACAACCATGTAAAGGCACGGTAAGAATGAGATGTGCTGTAGCAGCATTAATGAGGTCAATGCCAGAAACGGTAACTTAAAGTAGATTTTACTGCCTGACATTATCCCTCAGATGCGTCACTGTTTCCAAGATTCTTCCATGATTATAACTACAGATGGGCAGGGAGAGAGACAAGAAGAGATGCTCTGCAACAGACTGCTGAATGGTTCATTACTTGCTCTGGTGACAACTCTTGAATCTGAAATACAGCAGTTTAGGGTGAATGCATTACCCACATGAGTGAGTCCCTAACTTGCATGTCAGTGAATCCAGATTGGTGGTAGCAGCCTGGGTTGTTATCCAAACTTCACCCAGAGCAGAAGAGGAAAACCAGGCCAGGGCATTCACTGGCAGTATGCTATTCACTGGACATGACCCACTCCCCTTCCTCACGTGAATGAACAGGGTTTACCGACATCTTAGAAAATCCCAGTACTGTGGCTATCAAGCCGCATGTTGCCTGCTGCTCTTTCTCAGTCTAACAGAATCCAAAAAATAGAGCTAAAGCTCTCAGGAAAAGAAAATATGATTTTGTTATAATATGCTGCTTGCTCGGCTTTATTGCCTACAGGCCGACACAGATTGGGTATGGCTGTTCTCTGCAGTTCTCACATGTGCCTCTGCATAGCCCAAGAAAAGCTGCTCATGACAAGACATCACTCAGCCGCAAGACAAATCCTGACAGCCTGAATCTGAATGCAGGTTCAAGGGAGAAACCAGTGACTTGTTCTGAGCCTAATTTGGGGAGTTTTAGCTTTCTAAAGAATGCTTATAAAGATGTTTGATTATTTTCCATGTCTTGAGAAAGCTAAGCAATTTTCTTATCCTTTTATATGTAGATTTTATCATCTTCTATAATTGTTAAATGTTGCTGCAATCCATTCTAATCCTTTTTTTCCATAGCTAGTGTGGAATATAAATAAATGTATTATTCATATTTAGGTATGGAAAGTATTCAAAAGCTAGAAAACTTTGTTTATGAGTTTTTCTGGACTTTTTCTGTGGCCTTCATGACTCTCTGTAACACCTTAGTGTAACTTTGCAAATCTCTCATACATCTCAACCTTTAATGAACCAACAGAGAGCCCTGAAGAGCCAGCAAACAGTCTTTCTACACTAGCTGCCTCTAAATTTGCATTTTTAGCTTTGGAAATACGTGCACTAGAGCATATTATAGTCTGGGCAGTCGATAACAGCAGAAACATAAACCCGCAAAGCAACTTTCAAAATAAAAAGGCGCGTTGGGATTAGGACTCCCGGAGGATTGTAGGGCACGCACCCCTTGAAGCCAACTAGGTGCCTAGCCTACTCTTCACCTGACAAATCACTGGTTTTGAAACAAAATAGATTGCTCGACTTTATTAGAAAGGCTGTTTGTATGTTGTTCATTATTTGAATTAATGGCCATACTCCATATTCAAAAGTAATTCTTTCTCGAACTGTCTGGAATGGGTTGAGGAAAAAAGTGACTGGGGTATATTTCAGCCCTTTGGAAGTCTAAGGCACAATGAACAGCCTGTTTTCAGAAAAGGATTCAGGTGGGGCAAAAAACAAATACTATTTTTGGCTGAAAAGTAAAATTTACTAAGCAGTCGTTTTTTTTTTCTTTCAGGCCTGTTGATTAAAAACAATGTTTGAAATGCAAAGGTTTGTGAAAATAGTATGTCTTTATGTCTTGATTATGACATGAAGACTCCATTTGGATTTCTCAAAGAGAAGTATAAAGCAGCTCGGGATTTAGGCTATTTGCAGCTCTTTTGAATTTACTCTTTCTGATGAGACTCATAATTTCTAGTTTCAATGGTTTGTGCTAGATAAATCTTCAGATGGGAAATGGTAACTTGAAGGAGAATGACCCAGAGATTAAAACCTCTAGCAGCTATAATTATCGAAAGAGAAAAAGACTAATAAAGACAAGAAAAAGCAAAAGCCCTTCTCCATGAAAGGAATGGATTATCAGCTCTGAAAAGCAAATTCCTTATGTATGATGGTAGTAATAACTAATATTACTTTTTAAAAAAAAAAATCTTACCATATAGAATTAAATCAGAAATTGTCATGCCGTTTCTTCTACTGAAAGTCTCTATAACCTTTCAAAACTGACACTTAAAGAGACTATGAATGAGGAATCTCTTCAGTTCTATTTTGCTTGTCCCAAGACGAGACTTCTATGAAACAGGTTTATACAGAGACCATTTTTGTTTGGTTGGGTTTTTTTGTTGTTATTTTTTACCTGGGAGGCTAAATGGTCAAATGGCTTTAAATGTTAACTAATGGAGTCTTATAATATCTGGATGTGTAAGGCCCACTTTTCAGAAAGGAAGAAAGAAACCTAAGGCAAAGTAAGCCTAGTAGTCCTTCAAATCTTGCACATGGAATACAAGCTCTGATTCTTTAAGCAGTTCTGAAACCATTACCTCATATTTCTCTCTGTAGCATGCTAAAAGACTCTAGCACTCAGTTTATGTTTGCCCTTATTTTCCAAATGAGTGTTTCATGGTATGTGGTGTGGAGTGATTTTGCAAACAGGATTTATGCTTCCATTTTGCTTCCTCCCTTTTGTTTTATGTTGCTTTGTTTTTTTACTGTCCCTACCAACCCTCTTTTTTTGTGTTCGATGCTTGAAGCAGTGTATTAAGATAATCTATCCTAAAAATATCAAGGGACTCTAGGAATAATATTTCATCTTTCTGACAAATAGAAATACTTATCAGTTATCTGCTGCCAAGTGTACTAATCTTTGTTTTTTACTCTGGACTAATGTTGTTAATAGAAATTTATCACAGCTGAATTCTTTTACCTTTTTACCATGGATGATAATATGAAATTCAAATTGGCTTCTATGATAGCTTCAAAAGTATGTTGTTATTTATCATTTATATTTGCCAGTACTCTACTGTCCCAGGCTTTGTACAATCACATGGAAAATGGCATTACTAGTCTGGTTAAAAGGCAAGATTTATGAACATGATATTACAAAGTGAAGGCCTATAAGGGAGGGAAGGAGGTTGTAAGAAGGATGAAGTGCTGCAGAAGGGTAGTAGAGGAGAGAGCAAATGCCATAGGGCAGATGCCATTATTGGTGAAATGATTAGAGACAAGCTCTATGATGACCCATAAAATACATTTAAATGCAGGACAATTTTCAGTAATAGATTGTGATTATTATTGCAAAGTTCTCTGATTGAATACTACACTATTTTATGACCATTCCCATTAAAGATAATAAAATATGCAAAATATATAGTGGGAATGGAATATGAAATTCATAAAATTTATAGTGGAAAAAGAACATATTTTTAAACTATACATTTGTCTGTATGTTTCTCTGACAATTCACCTAATGCTAATTTCTGAAATTTGTAAATACGCCTCATTGCTAGCTCTCTCAGGTACGTGCAGATTTCCATTTGTACGCTTAGGCTTTTGGCTTGCTGGTTATGCATATGGATTCTGAAAATGCTTGGTTCATTCCCCTGAAGTTTTGGATTGTATTTGGTAATGAAAAACAGCTATATTTTACTCAACTGTGTAGCAGAATTTTAGTCCCTCTAATAAAGACTGCAGGTAAATAGGCACATTGCAGGAAATATGAGAATATCTACATATAGACCATAGAATCCCCAAGGTTGGAAGGGACCTCCAGAGGTCATCCAGCCCAACACCACACGCAGGGCCACCTAGAGCACACAGCACAGGACTGCATCCAAGCGGACCCGAAGATCTCCAGAGGAGACTCCACAACCTCCCTGGGCAGCCCATTCCAGCGCTCTGCCACCCTCATCGCCAAAAAATCCCTCCTCAAGTTCCCATGGAACCCCTGGTGCCCCAGTCTGTGGCCGCTAACTCCAGTCCTGTTGGTGGCCACCACTGGAAAAAGGCCGGCCCCGTGCTCCCCCTCCGTTCCCTGAGGTAGCTATATACACTAGATATAGGCTGCGGGTGAAAATGTGTCTACTCATGGAAATCTGATTCTTTTCACTTGATTTGTGTCACCACAAAATATGGTCTGAACTTGCAAGGCAGTGGAAAAAGCTTCTATTAGATGATGTATGTACCAAGCCCTCTGCTGACTCTTTTACGAGTCCTTCTTTATTCATCAAATTTCAAACTAGATGAGTTTCATATGATTGCATTGCTCATACTTTGTTTATCTTGTGAGAAAAAGTTAAAAGAATACATACCACATATGAAACACAAATGCACAGGTTGTGCATCTTGTTCTATATTTGTTTTATTTTCATAAGCTATGAATGAGGAAGCTGATTTGGCTACCTTGAACCTGCATTTTCTACATTGCATTGCATTCCTCAACAGTCATGTTAACAAAATGATAATTTTAATGTGGGCCATACATCAGTGCAAGTTTTCAGTTACCATGTAGGTGACACTCAACAACAATTTGCAGTTGTATTCAGGCAGTGTCCTGCCAAATCATATTTTAGAGAAATCTGGGGTCAGATGGAAACATCCCAATTTAAGGTGTGGGTGAAATGCTTGCTGTCTTGCCGAGTTTTTCATGCTTCCGAAAGCAGCAAAGAGGCTGTAATGATGCCTTGCTATGGAAAGGAAAACTTTTGCCCCCTGAAAGTGAAAAGCGTTTCCTT